AAATCAGGGCCCAAATACAAACAAATTAGAAATGAGACTAAAATGGCCTACGGCCCAATAGAAATTAGTTATTTTTTATTTTTTATTTTATTTTTTTTCACATAGAAATTAGTTCGTTATTATCGCATAGCTTTTAATTAATGCCTGGTGGACTATTTTGCTGAATACCTTATTATCAAAACGAGGGTTTTTGAGTCCTGGTTGAAAAGGAATGCTACTATCTCAAGGTTAGGGAACAGCTCTCCAGATTTATGGCCGTACGTCTTCCTTGCAACCATCTGGCACTTTTGGAAGAGCAGAAACCGATTGGTGTTAGAGGGACAACGGCACCTGCCTCATATGGTTGCTAGCCAGGCTCATACCTTTGCCTTGGAAATGAGATTTGCATTGGAAACTACCAGGTCTCATACCACTAGAGCCCCTAGATGGGTCTCTTGGACCCCTCCATCACACCCTTACCTTAAACTCAATACCGATGGATCATACAATCATCACTCAGACAAGGCGGCAGCCGGGGGACTCATTCGCGATCATAATGGGCGTTGGTTTCATGGGTTTGCTGTCAACGTTGGTATCACAACAAGTTTCTTGGCTGATTTATGGGGCTGCAGTGAAGGTCTGGGGATACAGCAGTTAGTCTTAGAAATGGACTCTCTACTGGCAATTCAACTCATTCAAAATCGGCAGATTTCAGCCGGCCCAGCCTCCGTGCTTCTCACTGACATCTTCTTGTTGATAGATTCCTTTAGCAACTGCCTAGTGCAACAAACTCAGCTGCAGATTTTCTGGCATCCATGGGTCATGATTTAGCTTTGGGCACTACATTTTTTCCCACACCTCCTACGGGTATTCATATGATCTTGCAAAGTGATTACATAGGGACCAGGTTCCTTAGGACGTGAGCTGAAGTTATAGCTTCTGATGTTATAGATGGTAAAATATTCGAAAAGAAAAATACATATCCACCAAGTATTGGGTCTAACATTTATTCTGATAAAGGTTCATACCTGTATATCTAATTTGTTTACTTGATCTATACTTAAATATATACACACACCTAATCCATATAACTGATTTGTATACCTAAATTGTTATATATAACAGATAAGTTAACTAATAACTAAAATCACTGGTGAAGCTAAGGGGTCCTAGGTCCTAGGTTTTAGACTCCTCTAAGCTTTAGAAAATTGTTAATGTAATCTATTAATTTTTATTTTTATAGTTTTTAGCTTTAAATTTTTATTTTATTCTATGCAATTTAATCCATCCTTTTATCACTATTTCATTTTGCGCCTCTAAATTTTTTTTTAGCTCCATTTAATTTATTTCATGCATGAGTTGGGGTAACATGTATAGATTTTCAACACTTAAATAAGTATATATCGGGTATCAAAACCTTATGCTGGTATTCTTATAATTAGTCCTAGAGAAAGTGAGCAAAAAAGAGGAGTGGGAAAACAAAAGACATTAACTTGTATTATTAGAAGATATCTCATGAAACAACTCATACATCATGATGGTAAGAAAGGACAATGCAGATTAAAAAACTGACTTCAAAACCAAAAGTAACTCCTTATTTTTCAATTAAGGTAATTAAATTATGTTGTATAATTATAGTATAAAAATAAAATAAGAAAAAGAGAATTCAAAATAAAATTAGCATATATCAAGTTGTTTGAAGTATATTTTTATTTTACCGAAAAATTCAAAAAATATATTTACCAAGAGACATATATACAAAAGTAAAAAATGTTACATTATTTAATTAAATTGTTTTATAATTGTGTAATTTGGTCGGTGTGAATTACAAATTAAATCAATTACATTGATTTTAAAATTTCTTTAAACCAGCCTAAATGGTTGTTGTTGGTTTAAAATTGATTTCTAATTAAATTAGGTTAATTTTGGTAGAATCAATTAATTTAGACCATGTTTGGAATAACTTGTAAGAGTTTTTACTTTTTGTACTGTTCATTAATGATAAATTAAAATTTTAATTGAAGGAAAAATTTTTAAATTGTTTTTAAAAATAAAAAAAAAGTGAATAAAAAATTAGTGAAAAGGAAATTTATGAAAAGTAAAAGTTTAAAACTTTTGAATTTTCATTATTTAAGATCTATTTAAAATTAAAAAAAATTTAAAATATAAAATTTTTTTAAAAAAATTAAAATTATAAAATATAAATAATATAAAAATATTAAAGCACTTGAAAGGTGAAAACAAACATAACCTGAGATTAGGTATAAAGTATAAACTGCTCTACCTACATGGCCGAATTGAAAGAAGCTTTTGCTTGCCAACTGTCAACAAAAAAAAAACTTACGTCACTGGTATTTCTACAATAGTACTAGAGAGAGTGAGAAAAAAAAAAAAATGATAAAGGCAAAGAGGGCAAATCAGCCCTTGTATTGGGTGAATGGTGGTAAATCAGTCCCTCAACTAAAAATAGATGCAAATCAACCCTTCAACTCATTGTATGGTTACAAATCAACCCTTTTTGTACTACTTACATTAGACAATCATTAATTTGTTAATTTGTAAGGAAAGGTGCTTCTGGTGGAACCCATTGCTTACACAACAATAAGGTGACATTTTTTATCCTATATTAGCGCTGAGTTAGCATTAAATTGATAATTTTATATTAGGGTTTTTTTCATTATGGTATATTTATTGTATGTTTTTATTACTAATTTATATAAAAAATTATGAAAATAAATTTCATTTTTAATACTAATGTCACATAATGTACTTTAATTAGACAATTAATAAAATTAACATTAATATTTTTATACAACAATTACAACTTATGTCTTAATTGACAATACTTAAATTTATCAAATTTATAACAATTATTTAATAAAAAAAAAAGACTTGTCACTACCTAAAATGACTTAAACAATAATCATTACAACATAAAAAATACCATTATACTAATAACTTATTGTCTTATATTGTCATAAGTTTTTTTTCTTAGTTCTTTGCCTAAAACAAATTTAGAAAGAAAAAATTATTACATACTCATAACAAAATAATCTGAATTCATAACTATAATCTACTTTAATCATTTACTCTCTTTGTTCAGTTTTAGTAGGTTTAATTTTTTATCTAATAAAACAAGAATGTAATAATTAATTGATAAAAATTTATATTTATCTCTAATTAATCATTATTTTAATCAACCTTTTTATTCAATATATCTTGTAATTATCTTTTTAAAATAAAGGTAAAATAAGAACAAATGTATTATATGGCATCCTAAAATAGATAAGTAAATTTAAACACCTTAAATTAAAAATTAAGTCTACTAAAATTTAACTAATATTTTATTTGTTTCAAAATAATTGTTGTTTTTTACTTTGAATTTGTTTTAAATTTACTGTTTTTTTTTCAAATAGACAAATAAAATTTTCTATTTTAAACTTATCGTTATCTATTCACTTTAATTAATTATTTAATCAAAATTTTTTTTATGCTTTGTTTCTTTTATATGGATATTATAGATAAATACAAATATTATTCTTAAATTTTTAATTTAGTGAAAAAATTAAAAAATAATTATTATTTAAAAAAGTATGTTAGTAGTTTTTATTAGAGTTTTGGTCACTAGCCATAATGATTTAAGATAAAAAATCTCGGCTAAACTGCAAATTCAATGCCAAAACAATAAAAAAAACAAAACTCCACCTCAATGCCATATCATCCACGGAGCACACTAAAATGAAGTCTCTGTTTGATTTAACGTGTTTCTGACATCATTTGTGCGACAGGGGCTGATTTGCAACCATACAATGAGTTAAAGGGTTGATTTGCGTTTGTTTTTAGTTGAGGGGCTGATTTGCCACCATTCATTGAGTACAAGGGCTGATTTGCCCTTTTTGCCAGAAATAAACGGGCGGTTGGGGGGAGGGGGGGAGTGTGGAGAACAAAAGAGGTTAACTTGTATTATTAGAGGAGATTATCGTCTCATACATTATGATAAAGAGGGGACACTCTAAATTAATAAAGACTTCAGAAACAAAAGAGACTCGATAAAGTGGAGACCCATTTCGAGCCACAAAGCACACATATGCAGATCCACCTTAATTAATTATTCCAAAGTTTCTCTATATATCCCAAAGGGAATTCGAGATCGTACTTTGAATGCTTCATTTAATGCTGCATCAAGAAATAATAAACAGAACCAAAGAAAATTAATTAGAATTTTATTCCCAAAAAAATAAAAAAGGAAGGAGGCAGGGGATGATTGAACAAATTGACAGATGAAAATTACCTATGGACAATAATTAGTACATATTTTGATTTAATATATTTTAAAATATATTTTTAAGATATTATTATTTTTTATTTAAAATTAAAAATAGATAAATTTAAAAATACAATAATACATATAAAATGTAAAAATTAACTAAATTGATTATATTTGTATTATATATTTTAATAATTAAATCAAAACAAGTGTTTAAAAAATGTATTGAATTAAGTGTATGTTAATAATTTTTCATTACACAAACCTGTTGCAGTTGGTGTCCCAACTAATCTTGTATTGGAGGTTGACGCCGCACTTGCCAGGGAGACTAGAAGCATATTCAGTTTTAATCCCTGAGACTTCTGAGGCTAATGTCCTGAAGCAGTTGCAAGGCTGTTGGCGAAGAGGAGTGGTGTTGCTCTTATTGTTGAGGTTCTCCACTCCGCTGCAGCATTTAGATGAAACACTCCCTCCATTCCTCAGGTAACTGAGGCATGGCGACAGTTGACTCGATATCTCGCTGCATGTTAGGGCATTGGCAATGGGTGCAGTCACCAACATGGACAACACTATAGGCACAAGCAAGCTTAAGACCCGCTCCCATGGTAATTAACCAAAGAAAGAGGACTTTTGCTTAGTGTTGGGAAACCTGAGCGAGTGCAAAGAGATGGGTTAAGGGTTTATATAGGGAGGAGGTTTGGAGGTTGGGTTAAATTCTAGAATAATTTTTTTATGAAAGTTATCCCTCGTTCTACATCATACTTTGTCAAATAATGCTTCTTAGTACTTTAAGTTTTAGTTTTTATATCTATTTGTTATTTTAAAATATATAACATATTAATTAAAATAAATATTAACTATATTTTATATATTTTTTAAAAAGTAAAAGACTAAAAAACTAACAATTGCAATTATAAGTACGTATTTCCAAGCTAAGCCTAAGAAAGTCATTACCAATTCTACATGCTAGAGATGGCTCAAATGTTACTTTGCACTTTGTACTTAACCGGACCTTTAGGTCCAATGGTTCGACCCCAAATCTTAAGTGTTTAGGTGAGATGGTCGGAGTTTCGAACTCTACCACCGTCATGAACTTCACCAAAAAGCGATCTAATGACCGCGCATCTCATTTGAGGGGTGGAATGTTTACCCGGTCTGGAGATTGAATCTTCAATTGCTAACAACTAATTCATATTAATTTCCTAACCATTACTTTTGTAAAAAAAAAAAAAAAATGTTACTTTGTACTAATTATGAAAATTCTCTATACCAAAAATATAAAGTATGTTTAATATAATGTGCGAAAATAGATTCATATAAAATTATTTAACTACTATTTCATCTGTTCAACAATAATAATTTAGGTAATAAAAAAATAATAGTTTTAATTTAATTTTTTTACTTTGAAGATAAAAATTTAGGTGAAAATTAAATATAATAAAAGAATGTCAATTGAATTTTTTTCCTTACATGTAATTCTTATTTAGTAGTTTATTTCATTAATAGTGAAAATCAAAATGTGCTACTATTTTAAATATCAAAACTTTTAATGAAATTGTTTAAATACCTTTAATGAATTTTTATTAATTTATTAAGAGTATTTTAATTTTTTCATTCTCTTTCTTGATTTTTTAATCACTAGTATATCATGATTTTTCTCAATCTTTTTTCTAATTGCTAATTTATATATTATGTTACATTTTTACTTAAACATTTTATTTACTAAGCTAGTGGACTGATAAATTAATGACGTTTTATACACCAAATATACAATTTAAATATTAAAATCAGTATTTAAAAATTAATTTTCTTAAATATATTAAATCAATAAAAAATAACGCACCCTTAAAAAAAAAAGTTTTAAGGGCACAAAACTTAGTCCCAACACACCTTACAGTTGAAAAACAAAAAGGCAAAAGGGGGGCATATAGGATGATAGGCTTCATAAAGGAGCTGCAGCGCAGTTAGGCACGGCTAGCTGGTTGGGTGAACCATCACCTCGAAGGCTACATCCTACATGTGTGAATCATCCCCCCACATTTTATGCGAACTAATGCAGCTCTCATGGATTGTGGTCAGCAATATTTCATGGCATGCCATACCCAAAAAGATAAAAAAAGTTAAAGCCTGTTATGGTCCTTACATTTTAGATTTACATTCTTGATTGTTCCTCTGCTTAGGGACCTTTCACTGGGATCCTTCTACTTCGAAAATCCATACCGTTGAGGTCCTCACTCCAATGTTTGTTACTTCCTATTAACCTCCTAAGGAACGAACGATATTTTGACTTTAAATAGATCCCATATCAATTAAATTAAAATATCAAAATTTAATAAGTGAGAGAATTAAATTAAAATAAAATAATAAAATAATATAATAGTATTACAATCTAAAATAAATATAAAAAAGAAAAACACAAAATGATTAAAATAAAGACATATATTTAACTTTAAATAAGCCCCATATCAACAAATAAGAATTAAAATAGAAATTTAAGAAACATTATTTTAAACTATAATCTCGATTTAGCCTCAGAATTGATGACGTTAGTCACGAGAGACTGACGGACGTTGGAGCAAGAACCTCATCAGTCATCACTTATCAGTATGGAATTTTGAGGTAAAACTATAAGAACTTCAATGAACGACCCCAGACTAGAAGGATGGACATGAACGGAAATCTAAAATACAAGGACCATAACTGTCTTTAACCCCAAAAAAAAAGAAAAAAAAAAAAGAAAAGAAAAACTCATGGCATGTGTCGATTTGGGTTATTTGAGTTCTAACTTCTTAATTTTTAAAGATTGACCCATATATATATATATATATATGTTACGAGCAGTCTGCTTTGTCCACTCCATCATTTGCCTTTCCTATAGGGATGGTAAAGGGCCACAAGGTCGAAGAGTGCTCTTATCTTTGTGGAGATTTTTTTTTTTATGAGAAATAAAAAAATATATTAAGTAATAAGAAATTACAACAAAATTTTTATCTCATTGCATATAGTTAAAACCAAAATAACCTAAGGATAAAATTAGAAGTATAACCTATAGTACGAGTAACAGACTTAAATTATGCCTATGACGGATATAAACAATTAAGTAAAGAGAGCTATCTGCAATTAGGGATTGAATTTACAATCGCTATATAAACTAAAAAGGGCTACTAATGTAAAAAGGAGAGTTACTATGAGTATTAATAACTACTGGATGTCCTCACCTATTTAACCAGCTTCTTGGAGAGAACAAGGGATTTCGGCAACAAACAATCTCTGACCCACACGTTGCAGCCTTACTTGTTCTTAGAGAAGAACAACCAAGAGGGGTACGAGCCTTTTCCTGACAAGCACAAAGCCCCCTAATCACCTCCATATAGTCCCAATCATGTTCCCATCTTTGCTGATCTTCTTCAAGCCCATGCTGTCGAAACTCATTAAGGGAACTAGAGTCCCTTTGTCGGCTTGAAAATCAGGCTACCCATGGCATAGTCGGCCTTACCAACAGCATCCATTTCCTTTTGCAATCAGCTAGTTGATCGAGAACTAGTGTGAACTAGATTCGTCAAATTTGACTCCTGCCAAGATCCCATCTGAAGAGATGCATCAAAGCGAGATTTCTGCCCATTAAATAGGAGAAACCCACTTCATCGATAAGATCAATTCTAATTACAGTCTTCGAAAATCAACAGATGTAAATCCAAGAAAACCCAAAAAGCCACTACCTTGTGGTCCCTTGGGTTGAAGTTTCCAAAACAAGACAACAACAAAAGGAAGGAGGAGATCAAGAGGAGGAAGGGAGGGGTAAGAAGAAAGGAGGGATGAAAGAACTCCTATGTCGGAGAGAAACCCTAAGGAGGAAAACTCGCCGCTACTGCTTTCAAACCTAGAGGCAGTGCACGGAAGAAACCCATCTTTGTGGAGATTTTTGGTCTAATAGAATTTGCCCATGTTCTTATTGCACGAGAATTTCTTCATCTCTCATCAATCTATATTATAAAAATAATTTAATTATATTTATTTTAAATTATTTTAAGATAAAATTAAGTTTCAAAATTGTGTTACTAGCAGTTTGTAATTATTGAATATATAATTAAATTAATTTTTAGTTAATAAATATAAAAATTATTTCTAACACAAATTCATTATAAAAAGAAATCTAAGTTTTATATCAATTAAAAATTTTTAATATGAATACAATAAAGTAATTCATCAAATTTTTATTAAATTCTTTTTTTTTTTCACATCTTTCAATATTACTATTATATTTTTTTTACCCAATTTGGCATCTTTCTCTTAAATGTCCAAATTAAAAAGGGTTTTAAACCAAAACTTTTCATTGGACAAAAGGCAAAGGGTATTGTGCGTTTATTTTTCAAGATTGGTGTGGCCAACCAAGAGTGTGTGTAACATCAATTAAAGAATATTGGAACAGTTTGAAAGCGTATCAGTAGAAAGTGGCATACACTTAAATAGTAGATGAGTGTTATTCTTATGTTTTGATTGTAATTGCTACAAGTTTTAATTTTGTAACGAGTTAAAGTACTTTTTATACTTCTTAATAATATAATTATATTTAATTGATAGAAAAGAGTTTTAAGTCAAAATATAGAACAAAAAGTACAAAAAAACCACCTAAAACTATTAAATTACTAAAGCAATCGTTGTAAACGTAGTATCAAAGTTACCTAGTTGAAAGACTACCACTACAAACATCCTAACTTACATGGAAGCCACTACCTTTCATGCTAGCGTCAAGGGATCGAGCAGCAAGATTCCCTGTAACATGTAACAGCCTCTATCTGTTACAAGTCAGGTCTATCCTTATTCATTGGGTGTGTCTTCTTCCTCCTTTTCTGAGACCATCTTGTATTCTTTGATGGGGCCCTTTTCAAAAGGATCTTTAGGTCAGAAACCAATAATCTATATAGGTGGAATATCCTTCATTCCTTCATCTCGAACTTATTAAACCCCTAAATTTGGCCCTTAATTACGATGGAAATCATGCAAATGATCAATGATTTCCTCTATAAAGTTGTCCTTTTCTCCTACATACTCCATTTAATCTCAAGAAAAGGAAAGATGACCAAAAGTTCAAAGAAAGGACCAGCCTCATTGGTGCACCACCACAATGTCGAGCAACCCAAAATAATAATAATAATTGCCAGGCCAATATGTCTTAGGCCACAACCAAAACCAGCCTGCATTGCAATCCCCTAGCCAGCGTCAAGTTTCTTTATTAGCGCCAAAGTGTGGAAACAAATTTTGTTGCCGTTGCAATTAAACCAACACCATTACCCACTCAAATTTAAATCGTTAAGAAAAACGAGAAAGAAAAAAAAATTAGTCACTGACTTCTATGAATTGCATGAAAAAACAAGGATAATGCTACGTTTACCCTCCTCTATCACACACTCCGTTACACTCACTTACTCTCTCAAACTCCGTTAGTTTCTGTTAAGTACGTAGCCCAACCCTTTTTTTCTCTTTCCTTTCCTTTCCTTTCTCCTTCTTACTGTTCACCATCCTCCTTGTTGATCAAAACCATCAGAATCCCTTTGGTTGATGAACTGGAAACATACAAAGAAATCACGAGAATCATCAACCTCTTGCGCTCAGAAAACATTTCGATTCAAGTTGCAACCTCGATTGCGTACTAGGAATTGCATATTATGGGAGAAAAGAAGCGATTGAGAACATGCTTCGAGTTGGGTTCCTTCGATTGACCCAGCAACAACCCAGCAATTACTTTCCATTAAGCACCCAGCCCAGCCCTTTCTTTCTCTCTCTCTTTCTCATTTCCTATCTCCTTACTGTTCAGCATCCTCACCAGATCCATCTTCCTCCTCACCTCCATCCTCATCCTAATCTTTTGCAGCCTCATCTTCCTCTTAACAACCTCGATTCCTTCGAACCCGCCTCCAACATATTTGCTTTCGCCACCACCGCCCTGCAACGCCGTTTCCCCTGCTTCCTCCAAATCTGCTTCTGCGTTTGATGCTTCTGCTAGTTTGCTTCAGGGTTTGATGCTTCTCTCTCCAGTGTTCTTCCTTAGATGTTCTACTGTCCAATGACCCACAAGAAATGGAAAAGCATCGTGGCAGCGATGGACCATTTGAGAAAACAAGGGAATGATCGGAGATGTTTGAGAATCAGCTGGAACTACAGAGATAGGAAAAGAAAGAGAGAAAGAAAGGGTTGGGCTGGGGGCGTTTGAGAGTTGACGGGAAAATAACGGAGACTAAGTGGGTGTAACGGAGTGTGTGATAGAGGAGGGTAAACGTAGCATTGTCCAAAAAACAAAGTACAAGGAAAAAAAATTGGAGATGACAAGGATAAGGGAGAATGAATTAAAGAAGAAAAAGAAAAAGAAAAAGAAAAGAACAACTCCCCTGAAAGGAGAGAGATTCTGAATGAGGAAACTCAGAATTCAACCCGAACCCTAGATAGAGTGGCGCAAAATGAAATTAATGAACCCTAATCGTTATAGCATTAAAAACTTAGGATGTTTGTAGTGGTAATCTCTTTCTACTTTGTAGCCATACCACTGCACTTGCTCTAGTAATATGATAGTTTTAGGTTGCTTCTTATACTTAATTGTTCAAATCTATTTATGAGAGGATAGTATTGGTTATTATATATTGTAGCAATAGCTTCTATCCTCTTTGTGGGTCTATTCAGGAGATTATGGTTAGTTGTGTTGTCTCTATTTTCTTGCTTAATGAAATTATTTTCCTATCAACAACATGAGCAATACGAGGACTAACTGAATCGTTACCAACTAATTTACAAATTTTAATTTGGGTTTAAGATTAAAGTTTTAGGTATATGTAATATCAACTAAATAGCCTTTAAATGTAAAATAAAAAAAAAATCTTGAACCATTTAATTTACATGTTGTCGACTTTGAAGTATAAAAATTGCAAAAGGTGCAGATCACCCCCTTAACTTACTTACTAGTGGCAAATCATTCTCTCAACCCACTTCACGGGCATACTACCCCCTCAACTCCCCTGTAATAGCAAATCACTCCTTCTTTAACGTTGGCATCATCCTTCTATTAGCTTTTAATAATTCATTCACCCACCTCTCTGCTACGTCTGATGTGGCATTTTTTTTTTTGCTGAGATGGACAAGCCACCTGGACAAATCACCCCAAAATCATCAAATCAAGCAAATTTGTTGGTGGGATGGCAGATGATTTGCAAGATCCCTAAGGTTCGAGAAATTGAGAATTTTTCTGGAGTTAACAAAAAGATTACAAGTTTGATTTACAAAGCCAAACTGTAAAAACACGGAGAAAGTACACAAGACTCCTGCTTTTGAAGTATTCTTTGAAAGATTACTGTAAAATTCAGGGGAGTTCCAAATTCCTTTGTTTTACAATTTATCACATGCACTAGCTGCGAATCTACTGGAAAAAAACACTTTCTTTTGCCGTGGATTGGACCCACAACCTATCACTTTCTTTGATTTTCCCCAGTCTTCTTTTTCCAATCCAAACACAAGTTTAATCCCTGAAAAAAGAAATAAAAATGGAAAAAAAATGTTTACAATGCAAGAAAAATACCTCGAACTTAGTTTTTAAAATTTTAAAAATATTATTTTAAAATTTTTTACCTAATAATTTATTAAAATAACATAATTATTAAAAAAATTTGTTGTATTTTTTCAATCCTGCCGATATCATTGGCATCAGAAAAAATATCAATTTTGTAGTTTTTTTTTTAATTTATTTTTCTTTAAAAGTGTGAAAATGAAGAGAATTTATTATCATCAAGATAGACAGAACCGTTGGAATTGAATCCGATGGACCCCGGATAGCTGCCGGGGAGCTTCAAAGGAAGAGGAGCGCCTACGGTTAGTCCTATTGAGATCATCACTGCATTGCCTTCAAGCTTCATTCCCTCTGATTCTGAATTTGCCTTTGCATTAGAATTTTCCTGTATGAGTTTGATCTTCTCACCTTTCTGGTCGTCATTGCGGCCCCGACAAAACAAAATTGTGATCTCCAAATACGCCTCTGGAGGGAAAGCAGAGTTCCCCAATGATGGCCCTGGTAACAGTGTTCAATTTTTTAAAGGACGAAGAAGGGAAGAAGACGATAGAAGCTAGCAGAAATAAAACCATGTTTTCATTGATGATTCAGAGCTTGACGGAGAAGTCATGCTCGATGAATTGCTAATCTTAAAGAAATAATGTTCAATTTTTGAAAGATGAAGAGGGGAAGAAGACGATAGAAGACATAGAAATTGGAAAAAATAAAACCTGCAAAAATAAAACCTTAAATCCCCAAATCCTCAATTTTATTTCTTTATAATTTAAGGCATAAAATTTTTTTTTGGGTATTTGTCCAAGTGACTTGTCCATCTCAACATCCATCTAGCATAAAAATGTCACATCAAATGCAAAAGAAGGGTGGGTTAACGGATTGTTAAAAATTAAATGGAAGGATGGTGTCGATATTAACATAGGAGGTGATTTGTCACTGGATGAATTGAGAGGTTAATTTGCGCATAAAATGAGTTAAAAGGATGATTTATCACCAGTTATTTTTTTTTTACAAAAATAATAATTAATAATTAAATTAAAAATTATTAACAATTGAAAATTTGATTCTCAAAATAAATAATCCCTCACCCTTCTCGTTAAAACACACGAGCCATCGAATCACATGATAAAGTTCCACCCATTGTTGAGTTTAGGGGGGGTGATCTCCACCTTTTTGCCTATAAAAATCTCCATTAGCTGGCAACGCGAGGAAAAGCAAGTGATGGAGTGGATAAAGCAAACTGCCTGTAACACTTTTTTTTCTTTAATATTTTCAATTTTTAGAAATTAAGAAATGAGAATTCAATTTATTTGGCTGATAAATGAAAAAAAAAAAAAAGGAGGTAAGAACTCAATTGGCCCAATGTCCTGAATTTCTCTCTCTCTCTTTCTTTTTTTTGGCATGCCATGAAATATTGCCGAGTATAATCCATGAAATATGCATTATTTCGCATAAAATGTAGGGGGATGAGTCACACATGTAGGATGTAGCCTTCGAGGTGATGGTTCGCCCAACCAGCTAGCCGCCCAACTGCGCTGCAGCTCTTCTGTAGGAGCCTATCATCCTAACACCTTTATTTTACCCCTTTTTTTTTTTCTTTTTTTTTTTGGCAAAGTCATGGTGTGATGTCTAGGAGTTAATTTTTGTAATTTGAGACTAATTTTACCATATATAATTTAGATATCATTTTAATTTTAAAAAATTATTTTTATAGTGATTTGATACATTTAAAAAAATGAATTTTTTTAAATATTATTCTAAAATTTTAACTTTAATTTTAAGGTATTAAACAACACTTACTTCCATGAAAGGAGGAGAGCTGGAAGTTGGAACAAATTCTATGCTCTGCTTCCTCCAATATTTTGTTAGATTACTTAATACCAAAGTTTATCACTCTTATTTTTTTAATTGAATAATAAATAGTACTTCCCTTCTTAAATTCTTACCTCGTCTCAAGGGCACCGAGACATTCCCTAACGTCAATCACTCTTTTTATTTATATACATAAATATATATATTTAACATTTTAACATAAGAGAAATTTGAAATCCGTTTAAAAAAAAGAAAGGAAATGTACTTGTTCAATAATTAATGTTATTGAACCAGTCAGGTGCAATCACTCTTTATATTTAAAAAGCTATTAACATTGATATATTAGAGGTAGCTCAACAATTGAATTACTTATCAGTTATAGGCAATCCTTCAAATTGAATCCCACCGGCGAACAGACTATTTTTCATTTGCGTTTTAGAATCTTATTTTGCAAAGTCACATCAGCAATTTAGGCTCCATTTAGTGTAATCATAATTTTGAGTTTTTTATTTTAATTTTTTAAAATTTAAAACTTTTAAAACAAAATTAAGTAATTTTATAAATTAATTAAGTTTAGTTTTTTAGGTATTTTAGAATTTTATACTTAATAAGTTGATATTTTTAATTTTCAATTTTCATTCTTAACTGTTTAAAACTTAAAAACTAAAATTAAAAACTCAAAACCACAGTTATATTAAATGGAACCTTAATTATTACTATAATATTTTAGATAAATTCTCGAATCTCCTTTCTATTAGTATTAACATT